ATCACACTCATCGGTTTCTCCAAAATAAATTAGAAATGATAGAGTAATATTATCAAATTCTATTATTATTGAATGATCTGTAATTTAACATGAACATATTACGTCACAGCAAATTGGATGATCTGTTATGTAACATGCACATATTACTTCACAGCAAATTGGAATAAACCAAAACATAGCAACTGGATACCAGTTGGAATTCCGTTTCTTGATGTTAATTTACGATAATTGAAATATTATATGTTTCTATAATGATTAACGTATTTAATGACAAAAACGTGCAATACTTTAATTTTTATAAATTCTTGTCAAAGAATGACCAAAATCTTTGAATTTTGCAATTTATAATAGTGTCTACAAATTCAATTTAAATTTTTCTTGTCAAATCAATGTAATTGGAATTTCTGGAAAATTTTGCCAAAAATGATTTCCGGAAAAAAGAATTAAAGCGAAATGAAATGAAACTGCAAAAAATATTGTAAAGGCTTTGCATAAATTATTACTCACAATGCAATATGGCAACTGAATTGAAATTATTCATGAAGGGTTAAAGTATAAAGGATTAAAAGTGATTGTTATTATTACATTACTATAGGTTATCGATACACGTGGCTAGCCACTCCTATCAAAATTAACATTTATATACGCGATCCCCTGCCAATAGCATACAGAAGCGGCTGGGTGGTATCTATCAAACTGTCTTCGTGAAATTTCATTTAGCAAGTTCTGTTTCATTTATTTCGACGGAAAATAAGTTGCTTTTTAAAGTTTTGCGCCATGCAATTTTAGAACTCCAAGATAAGCACTTTCTTTATTAAACAAAATTATCGTTTTACCAAATTTGTAACTGTACAAGTTTGCACGAAATCTGCTTTGTAATGCTTGCGGCCAATCTTTATTATGAATAATTTGTTGTTTTGACGTTTGAATAAGAGGTATTCGTATTATACACGTAATGAATGTGTACCGATCTCTTTTCAATGCTAATATATTTAGAATAGTATGCACTTGAAAAAGTTTTACGCAACTGTTTCAGAATTGACAAGAAATTATTCCCATCAAAATGCGTTTCATCTGCTTCATCTTCTTCCTCATCCAACTGAGTTACACTCAAACCATCGTAAGTTCATTTAAAATTAAAGAATATAAAATAGCACTGCAATATTTTTAAGGTTTCAAACCTTTAGCGCAGTTTGAAATTGGCAACTTCATAAAATTTGAGGAGCCGCAAACAGAACCGTTGGATTTGTCAATGTCAAGAACACATATGGGGATTCATAAATTTGAGGAGCCACAAATAGAACCGTTAGATTTATCAATGACAAGAATGATTGAGAGACGGATTGGACCATCAGATCTGTCAGCGCCAGAGGTAAGTGGAAGACAAGTAGAACTCAGCGAAATTGATCAGAATGACGCGAGCTCGTTGAGCCTATCAATTCAAGAAGTGAGTAAGGAACATACAAGTACAGGAATTGAACCTAAGGCATTGTCCCTTCAAAAGGAAACCTCAAGGCTGGAAGAACATACGACTAACACACCTAAGAAGTCGTTCAAATGCGAAATATGCCAGAAGGATTTTGCTCGGTCATCGTATCTGAGTCAACATGTGAGAACTCACAAACCTGATAAGCCGTATAAATGTGAAATATGCGAGAAGCATTTCAAAACATCATCGAATTTGTACGCCCATAAGAAGATTCATACCGGTGCGAAGCCGTACAAATGCAATACATGCGGGAAAGGTTTTGGTCAGTTATGGCATCTGAGTCAACATGTGGGAATTCACACAGGTCAGAAGCTGTACAAATGCGAAATATGCGCGAAGGATTTTAGAACGTTATCGAATTTGTGTGCCCATAAGAAGATTCATACCAGTGAGAAGCGTACAAGTTCAAAACATGCGGGAAGGGTTGTTTAGTTATCGAATATGCGTAGACACACAAGGTGAGAAACGGAACAGTTGTTCTGCGTGCAAGAAAAATTTCTCTCAATCACAAAATATGACAATCAGCTGCATTGTATGCGGTAAAGAATTCCTGCGGAAAACTCCATTTGAAATCACACATGAAGAATCACATGATGGACCGATGGAATTGAGCATTATTATTTCTGGCTTTTTGTATTTTTTATAAGTTAAATTCATTTTTTCTTATTGTACTGTTAGCATTCTATTGCTTTGTATGTATCGTTCCTCTACCATTTCTTTATTATTTC